ATACTGGGATGGAAGAAACTGAGGCCAGCAAGGCTGAGGAAAAGGGAAAGCAGGAAACTCATGACACTAGCACATGACCGTGTCCCAGAACCAACCTTGAATGATGAAAATGTTGCAGAGGAATGTTGTAAATTGTTTGCTAAGGTGTGCAAAGCAATCTCCTTCCTCCGTCTCCCTTTAGAACTCAAGTAAAGAGAGGTGCTGGAAGCCTTCCCTACATTGGCAAGGGTGGGAAAAGGGAGGAGGGTCTGAAGAAGCAGAGCAAGGCGATGAAGGACGGCTCACATCTGGCTCACATGTGTGGGCTTCGTGTTCTAACACAGTCTGTTACACAAAACAGGTGTTCGACAAGTATTTGTGAAACAAATAAAATAACTACTAGAAAAAAAGCTCACAAGGAAGACTGTGGTTCTTACCACTGCAAAGGACTGACAGGGATCAAAACAGAAATAACCTTATCAGTTTGCAAAGGCAAATCCTGACCTTCTCAACCTCAAGCTAGCACAATGTGCAAATGTTTGCCAAGAAAGAGCTGGCAAGTTTGTAGCTTACAGAGTCAAAGAACTATCCGTGTGACATAAGGTAGGCTTTGGGTGTTTGGCTGTTACTGCTTTGGAAAAGTTTGGGGGGAAAAAAATAAAGGTGGCGTTCAGAATACTGGCAGAACAGTTTCCATGTGCCCTTCGATACTGATGTGCACAGCACTGGTCTTAAAGCAACTGGAGCAGGAGATTTCCATATGACACCCAGCTGGCGAAGTGAAATTTTGCCCTGAGTTCCATGTGTTTTGAGACAAAGTCACAGACTTTGCCTGGGGGTCCTACTTATAATTCAGATTCACACAGCTCAACGGCAACTTTTCCGCAAGTTATTTTACTTTGATTGGAAGCTATACGTATTTCTAAGCCAACAGAATTATCTTTAACGACTTTAGAAACAAATTTACTCGGACTAGGACTGACTCATAGGGAGACCTAGGGAGGAGTCAGGAGCAAATACCTCTTTCTCTAAGGTTCTTGAGGTAGATGTTGCTTTGTTTTTGTCTGCCCAGCATCCTTAATGCCAATGGAGAACCGCTGGTCTCCAGTCTGTGTCTTCCCAGCAGGGTTGCCAGTCTCCACATCTACCGACATCCCCTTCCTCAGCACAGAGTTGGTCATGTGACTCCAGATTAGCCAATCTCAGTGCTCTATGTCTCTCACAACAGTGATTGGTCCAGGTGTAGTTGTGTAATCTAAGCAAGGCCAATCAAAATCTTCCCTGGATTGATAACTGGGTATTGGGAATTAATAAGCTGGAAAACATGTGAACCTGGAGCTGTGGGTGGCCACAGCCTGTCTACAGGATACAGCCAATACCCACAGGGACTGTGAACTAAGGGGTGAAGAGAAGCTGGGCCCTGATGTCACCATTGGAATCCCTGAATCCAGCTGTACCTAAAGTTGGTCTTGCTGAGTACATAAAATGTTATTTATGTGTTTAGGTTAATTTTAAGTTGAGTTTTGTTACTTATGACTAAAAATGTTGTAATGAATATACTGTGTTTATATTTCAGTAACCTTCATGTAGCAAAATGGGACAATAACTGCAATTACTTATTGAATGCCCATTTGGAGTTAAGGCCTGTACTAAGACATTGACAGCATCTCTCATGTGAACATTCTACTGAACAAATGAAGTCACCTGAGACTCAGAGAGGTTGCTTGACTTTGACAAAAATCACTGAGCTAATCAAAGGAGGACTGGGGATCCTAATCTAAAATTTAAGTTTACATTGACTCCACTCTCTGCTTCCAAAGGAAGAGTGTATAGGGAGCAACATCTCTTTTGTGTTAATTAACAAGATGTCAACACTTTCCTCCGAAGCTGAGGGCCACAGAATGACTTTTGTCCTACACAAGGCTCCAAGCTTCCAAACCGGGCTCCTGAGGGTGGCAAAACCCAGCTCAAAACTCTGGCAGCAACAAAGCCTCCCTAGGGGTTGTTTGGCCTGCCTGTGCCACATGCCAGGGAATCAGTGGAGACATGCTCTGCAACTGACACTCATGGGGCCTGAAAGCTGGAGGAAACACAAACACTAAGGCAGTGCATTTCATCCAGGACCTGCCACTTTCTTGGTCCATGGTGAGCTCATTCAAGCTAAAGTGGGGAAGTCAAGGAGCAGGATGGCTGTGATATATCAGTAACAGGAGTGGAACATATCCAAGACTGTCTCTGCACCCATTCTTTACTAACTTTGCTCATCCTCCTACACCCTCTCCTGCAGTTCCCTTGGAAGTAGCAGGGGAGTAACATCCTACATTCCCAAACCCCATTAATGAAAATGTCCTTTATTTGAATGTAAATTCCCATTCTAATTGTAAAAAAAAATGCATAATTTTTCTGATTAAGATCTCCTTGCCAAGTTCTGAAAAATGCATGGATGTAGCCCTGCACTACCATTGTCTACGTGACATGGGCAAGTCACATGGTCTCTCTGAGCCTCAGTCACCGCTTCTGAAAATGGAAATCATGCTGCCTACCTGAAGATATCATAAGAATGAAACAAGGTGATGTGCCATCACTCCTCCTGCTGCCTGGAATGCAGCAGATGTTCCCTAATTGTAAATAATGGCAAGGTTTCCTGAGTGTTCATGGGACCCAGTGCATGCCAGGCCCTGTCTCCTCTGCTAAATCTTGAGTTGCTGCCTATTAAATAGCCAGCTTCTTCCAAATAAAGCATGAAGTAATTCATAGCTTTTCCCATTTTCCATATTTCCTGACTCTGAAATCCCCACAAGTGGTGCCTGGCCTGGTTAGATGAGGCAGAGCTATCCCAAGGTCACATACACTGTGATGCTACGATTAACTATGGGTTAATCGTGGTGCTATCGTGATACAACAAGAAATACCTTGGACACCATGGATAGAAGTCTCAGGGCTCAGGCACTGTCTGTCTGCCTCCAACTGAATCCCCAGGACCACAAACAGGGTGCAACTGATGAGATTAGGGCCCCTAAACACTTTCTAAGATCGACGCCTTCTTTGCTTCACTTTTCATTCTGTTAAGGTCTAGAGGTGTACACCACATATGCACGGCTAGGAAGGAGTGGTCACCCAGGCTCTAAGCCAAGCTTTTCCAATCTGGGGCCCATGGGCCACATGCAGCCCAAGATGGCTTTCAATGCAGCCCAACACAAATTAGTAAACTTCCCTAAAACATTACGAGATTTTGTTTTTTGCAAATTTTTTTTTTTTTAGCTCATCAGCTATTTTTACTGTTGGTGTGTTTTTACATGTGGCCCAAGACAATTTTTCTTCTTCCAGTGTGGCCCAGAGAAGCCAAAAGTTTGGACATCTCTGGTCTAGATGATCACAGGTGCACTGAAGTGAAGAAACAAAAAAATGTGTTCTAGAGGTGCCCCATTTGTTCTTTGTGTGGATTCATGTAATATTGTGAAATATATATTTAATCTTCCCTCCTGTTTCTGGCATACAACTCCTAAAATCCTCGGAATCTGTAAAGTGATGTGTTTTTGTATGCTAACGAGTTGACGGATGGCTTGCAGGCCTAGGTAACTTCAGAATGAGGGCTAGTCACCAAGACACCATTAGAGGGTTGGGACTTTCAGCCCCACCCACAACCTCTGGGGTGAGGAGAAGGGTGGAAGGTCAAGTTGATCGCCAGTGGCCAGTGGTTTAATCAGTCGATCATGCCTATGTAATAAAGCCTTCATAAAAATCTTAAAGGGTGGAGTTCAGAGAGCTTCTGGATAGCTGAATGCATGGAGGATCCTGGAGGATGGTACACTCAGAGAGGGCATTGGAAGCTCCATGCCCTTTTCCCCATGCCTTGACCTATGTATCTCTTCATGTGTATCCTTTGTAATACCCATTATAACTGATATGGTTGGGCTGTGTCCCCACCCAGATCTCACTTTGTAATAATCTCCACGTTTCATGGGAGGGACCGGGTGGGAGGTAATTGAATCGTGGGGGCTGGTTTTTCCCATTCTGTTCTTGTGATAGTGACTAAGTCTCACGAGAGCTGATGGTTTTTTAAAGGGCAGTTCCCCTGCACATGCTGTCTCTCTTGCCTGCTGCCATGTAAGACATGCCTTGCTTCCCCTTCACTTTCTGCCATGATTGTGACACCTTCCCAGCCGTGTGGAACTGAACTGTGAGTCCATTAAACCTCTTTCTTTTATAGATTACCAAATCTCAAGTATGTCTTTATTAGCAGCATGAAAATGAACTGATACAATAATAAACCAGTAAACTTTAAGTGTTTCCTTGAGTTCTATAAGATCCGTTCCAGCAAATTAATCATACACAAAAAAGGGTTCAGGGGATCCCTGACTTGTAGATGGTCAGTCAGAAGCAGAAGTAAAACAACCTGGGGCTTTTGACTGGTATCATAAGTTGGGGGCAGTCATGTGGGACTGAGCCCTCAACCTGTAGAATCTGACACTATCTCCAGGTAGGTAACATCAGAATTGAATTGGATTGGAGGGCACCCAGCTGGTGTCTGCTACAGAACTGACTGTTCACTTGTTGGTGGGGAGAAATCCTCACAGAGTTGGTCACAGGATTCTTCAGTGGTGATTATTTTTGAGTGAGAGAATTGAAAAAACACTTTGACTTTTTGAGTTTTTTTCTACTCACAATAAGGAAGGTAGGAGTACTGGGAGTCCTCCCAATAAGTATTTTACCAACATAGAAAAGCATGAAGGAGGCCAGGCGTGGTGGCTCACACCTGTAATCCCAGCACTTTGGGAGGCTGAGGAGGGTGAATCACCTGAGGTTGGGAGTTTGAGACCAGCCTAACCAACATGGTGAAACCCCATCTGTAGTAAAAATACAAAAATTAGCTGGGCATGGTGGCAGGCACCTGTAATCCCAGCTACTTAGGAGGCTGAGGCAGGAGAATCACTTGAACTGGGAGGCAGAGGTTATAGTGAGCCAAGATCATGCTATTGTACTTCAGCCTGGGTGACAGAGTGAGATTCCATCTCAAAAAAAAAACAAAAACAAAAACAAAACAAACAAAAAAAAAACAAGAAAAAAAATAAAAAGAAAAGCATTAAGGATAGCGATTTTCATATATGCTGTGAATCACCCAGGGATCTTGTTATAATGCAGATTCTCTGGTCCAGTTGGTCCGAGGTTGGGCCTGGGAATCAGTATTTCTAATAAGCTCCCAGTGATGCTGATGCTTCTGGCTTAGAAATTATGTTTTGAGTAGCAGGATTTGAGGACGTAGGAAGTTCACAGTAGCTGAGCACAATGGCATGCACCTGTAGTCCCAGCTGCTGGGAAGACTGTGGTGGAAGGATCACTTGAGCACAGGAGTTTTGGGCTGTAGTGTGCTGGGCCGATGGGGTGCCCACACTAAGTTCAGCGTCAGTACAGTGACCTCCTGGGAGTGGGGCATCACAGGTTGCCCAAGGAGGGGCAAATGGGCCCAGGGCAGAAATGAATCAGGTCAAAACTCCCATGCTGATCAGTAGTGGGATCACACCTGTAAATAGCCACTGCCCTCCAGCCTACGCCACATAATGGCATAGCCCTGTCTCTAAAATGAATAATAATAGTAATAATAAAAGGAAGCTCACAGTAAGTGCTTGCTAAGGAATTAGCAATAGATAAATTGCTCAATGAACATACAAATGAATAAAATAGGGGAGGGCACCCAGCGGTGTCTGCTACAACTGTAGCAAGATGAAAACGCTATTATCCAAGGCTAGACTGAGGTTAGAGACTATGCTTCCAGCCTCCTATATTTGACATTTCTTCCTCCAACTGTTCCTTTTGATTTTGTTATCTCTCTCTCCTCAGTGTCAGGGCAATGAGAAGATCAAAGTCACTATATGTGGTGTACTCCCTGAGCCTCAATGTGCATATCTGTAAAATGGGAATAATACTGTCTATTGTGCAGTTGTTGCAAAACTAAAATGGCTCATAAGAGGAATTTAAGAAATGGTTGCTATTGAGTATTTTCAAATTAATTAACTTGAAGAGACAACAGATGCCTCTCCTCCACGTTGAAGGAACAGAGGAAAAACTATTACTTATATATCTATGTGCTAGCACTGTGCTATGTGCCTGAATAAATTGTTTTATAAATTGTTTTGCTTGTAAAGCCTTTTGAAGTCCATAGTGTTATGTCAGTTTCACAGTTGGGGAAACTGAGCCTTAGAAAGAATAAGAGACTTTTTCATCCAAGGTCACAAGGCTGAGTAAGTGGCGGGGACCAGTTGTGTCTGATTCCAAAACCACACTCTTTCCCCACATCCTGCCTCTCCTCTGTGCCCTAGTAGTGGGCAGCCTGCCCCTTTGAACACAGTCGTCCACAGTCAAAGGCTCTGGGTATTAGCTGTTAAGGCTCCAGTTCCGACCCACGTCCAGGGCTCATTCCTTGGCTGTGAAGCAGACAGCCTGTTTACATGACACAGGTCTGGGATGGCAAAGTACTCAGTGCCTGTTTGTCTGCTTTTGCCTTCTCCCCTATTCAGACCTTTGGTGAGTCAGTTATGGTCAAATTCAGGGACAGTTTGTGCCGAGCTCAGTCCAACTTATGGGGAAGGTGTCTTAAGCCCTGAAGTTCACTGGGTGAAAATGTCAAAGCAGACAGACAGATGACCTCTCACCTCCTTGCAGAAGGGAGGTGTTTGTTGAGCAAAGCATTCAAGAGCATCTTCTTCAAGTCCCAAACAGGCCTGAATTACCAGCCCCATTTTCCAACCACAGATGTTTTCTCACTCATAGCCAGGTTCCAAGTGGGACAGGATCTGCTGGATTGAGCTCTAGAAGAGACAGAGAGGAAAGAAATGTGAATCTGACATGTTGTTTTCACCACTATAAACCCAGCTCCCTGGCCCATATCCCAGTCCTGCCTCAGAATTCCCCCTCCTACGGTAGAGACAGCTAACTGCTTCCCTTCCGTAGTGTAGAACTGTCACTGGGAAGTAGCTGCCATGTCAGTGATTACATTTCCCAGCACCTCTTGCTTCTCATGGGTGGTTACATGACCACTTTACAACAATGAGCAGAAGTGATGTGTGTCACTCCTGGTCCAAGGCATCCCTTCTCCATCCTGCCTTTTCACATCTTAGGTAAGAAAGAAGCCACAGGAAGAAGGAGGCAGGGTTTCTGACTCACCATGTGAAAGGTTTTCTGGCAACCAGGAACATCCACATCAACAGCTCGGTGAGTGAAAAATAGTGTTTTATTACTTTAAGGTCACTGAAACTTTTGGATTTGTTCATTAGAGCAGCTAATCTTGCTCTCATTAGTATACCCAGGATAGAGATAGCAGCATGGACGCTGATTGGACTCTTGGCACTGGGTGCAATGCACTGTGCTCAGAACTTCATCACCATCATCTCACGGAACCTTCATATAATTTTGGCAGGTAATCAACCTCCCCAGTTTAAACTATAGAAATCTTGGTTCCAGGATGTTAAATTATTTGTTCCGGATCACATGGTTAGGAAGTGACAAACATAAGATTCAAACAAATCTCTGTCTGACAACAGTTGCAGAAAGTTCTCCCTTTTATACCCCAGCCTGAGTGACAGAGTGAGACCCTGTCTCAAAAAAAAGTAAGGAAGGAAGGGAGGAAGAAGAGAGAGAGAGAGAGAGAGAGAGAGAAAGGAAGAGGGGAAGAGGGAAGGGAAAGGAAGGGAAGGGAGAAGGGAAGGGAGAAGGGAAGGGAGAAGGGAAGGGAGAGAGAGGAAAAGGGAAAGGGAGAAGGAAGGAGAAGGGAAGAGGAAGGAAGGGAAGAGGAAAGGAAAGGGAAAGGAAGGAAGGAAGGAAGGAAGGGAAGGAAGGAAGGAAGGGGAAGGGAAGGGAGAAGGGAAGGGAGAAGGGAAGGGAGAAGGGAAGGGAAGGGAAGGGAAGGGAAGGGAAGGGAAGGGAAGGGAAGGCGGAAAGAAGACTGCCTAAACCCTCTCACCCAGGTGTGGCACAGATCCCAAAGAAATAGCAGCAGGTTTGGTGGAAGCATGTTTAGAGTAGTCAATGTCTTATTAAAGTGTGTCTTAAACTTGATGTTGGCAAGTCATAATGAAATAGCGTTCCAATAAATTTCCCAGCTGGGTAACTCAAAACTATTGAAGTGAAATTTGCAAAGGTGGTCACATTGCAAGATGTGAATTATGCCGTACTTAGATCCAGCTCACCGAGAACAACTTTAGAGGGCACCTATGACACTGGTGACAACCTTGTACTCAAGTGGAAACATAGTGAGCTTGGAGCAAGAAGCCAGGGGTCTCAGACCTAACTCCATGGCTTGCTGACCTCGTTACATGTAACTAAGACACAATGGTTATGTGTCAAGACACAACATCTCAGAGATGCAGCACCCTGGTTTCTGAATGGGGGTGGAGTAGAATGGGGAGGTGCTTCTCTGTCTTTCTCCCAATGTTGTCAGATTTCCTTGTCTTTTTCATCTTTATGCTCAGACCTCAGCCTCTTTTTTTTTTTTTTTTTTTTTTTTACTTTAAGTTCTGGGATACATGTGCTAAACATGCAGGTTTGTTACCTAGGTATACATGTGCCGTGGTGGTTTGTTGCACCTATCAACCAGTCATCTAGGTTTTAAGCTCTGCTTGCATTAGGTATTTGTTCTAATGTTCTTCCTCCTCTTTCCCCCAACTTCCTTACAGGCCCCAGTGTGTGATGTTCCCCTCCCTGTGTCCATGTGTTCTCATTGTTCAGCTCCCATTTATGAGTGAGAACATGCAGTGTTTGGTTTCCTGTTCCTGTGTTAGTTTGCTGGACCTCAGTATCTTATATGTGAACTATTGCAACAGACCCTGGGAGTAGGGACAGTGTGGTACCAGAGCCACATACCCCTCCTCATTATATCCAGTGAGATCACACTCCTATTGAAACCCAAGAGTTCCCTTCTATTCTCAGGATAAATCCAAGCTCCTCAAATTGCCATTCAGAGTATTCTATGATACAACCTTGACCTTCATTTCTGTTGGATATACCATGACTCCAAATCTTTGCCCTATACTGGATCCCAATGGCAAGTCCCACATTTCCTGTGTACCTTCCTGCCATTTCCTGACTTTAACTCCTCCAATGTGCTCTTATCCTAATCATTATAAATTCAAACTCTACTCACCTTTCAAGGCTGATGTTGGTACAACCACTTCTAGAAAGCCTGATGTCCACAACTAGGATTTCCATTTCTCTCCTAAGAGCTCAGGCAGCAGGTCTTACTGGATTCTGATCCCTTTGAAACTTGTTGTTCATTATTTGATCCCATTTCTTATCTCCTCTCCTAGCTCCTTAGGAAAAATGACTCTACCTTCTTCATCTTTTTATATTGTCCAGCACCTATAATTTTTCTTGGTGCAAACTCGGTCTTTGGTAAGTTTACTAAGTTAACTCAAAATCATGAGTCAAGGAAAGACTCAGACAAGGCAGTTGATAAAAGGAAGTATTAGAGCAAGCCACGCTACAGTAACAAGTAAACCCTGACATTAATGACTTAACACAATAAAATGTTATCTCTTACTCTCCTCACAGTCTTTCATGAGCTAGCAGCTGTGCTTAGCAGAGCTCTTCCAGTCAGTGACACAGGGATCCAGTCTCCTTCCATCCATTGAGGGAAGCGCTCTGCCATTCCAAGTCCTTTGCTTGTAGCTGTACAGATAAGGTTGAGAAATTTTGGAAGACTGCACATGATATTTCATGGCCAGGTTGGAATTGTTGTATGTTCTTACTGCTTGAAGTGTTGTCCATAAAACCAGCAGCACTGGTATTAACTAAGAGGTTATCGAAATGCAGAATCATGGGCCTCACCCAAGACCTACTGAATCAGAATCTGCATTTCAACAAGATCCCTGAGTGATGGGATGACTCATTATACACATTATAGCGTGAGAACCACTAGTGGACACCATTTCTGTGCACATTCCATTGGCAAGAACTCCAATGCAAGCCCCAACCTAACTGCAAAGAAAGCTGGCAAATTTATCCCACCCTGATACCTAGAAAGAGGACAAAAGTTTTGCCTGCCACAGACTGCCACAAGCAGCATTTAAAATGGAACAAATCCAGTTCCACCTCCAAGTCAAGCAAGTCATACAACTCTAAACCTCATCTCCCTGCTATGCAGTATCAGGAAGGATGGAGTGTCTATGCTGGCTGAATAAGCGACAGGTTGTTTCAAGATGGTGGACTGCAGCAGAAGGCAGGGACTTTGAGTATGTATGCAAAGAGATGGAAGCCAAGTGAACAGGGATATTAAACAACCTGTTAGCCAACAAAGTTGAAAGAACATTTAAACCATGTGCTTTGAAGAAAACAGCTCCCCCTGCTCCCACCAATATTCATCCAACCAAGACACAGGCCTTAAGGAGACACAGAAGCAAAGCCAGACCAATACACTGCTAATTTTCTGGGAAGTTTTTACCTGTTTGATCCAACTGTTTTCACTATTTCCAGTGGTCATTGTTCCTGGTTCTCATTAGTTGAAATTTATTTTCATTATTCTGTGACTATATATTTTTTCCAGAACACAAGGATTTGAGGTTCACATACTTTCATCTTTTTCTTTATGATTGGTTAATTAACCAGCACTGAGTGAGGGAGTGGGGAGTAAGGAATAGAGGAGACTTTAAAAAATCCCTTTTCATGTAAATGTATAGGCCACTTAACAAGGAACTTGGAGGTCCTTGGTAATATTTGTACTTGATGGTGTTTTACTTGGAAAATACTCTTACGCCAGCTCTGATCTTAAGTTTTAAAGCATTTCAATAAAATAAAGAGAGAATGCATTATATTTCATAATACAAATTAGCTTCATCTTGCATGTGCCAGGCATGGAAAAGAACAACCCTGAAGCAATCAAAATTTCCCCATTAGTACTGACCATCTAACTTTTATAGCAGACCATCACTTCTCCAAATAATGTTGCATGTTTGTTTTCAAACCACAGGGAAATAAATGATTTATAAACTCAATAAGAAAAGAAAGTGAATCTATAAAAACTACATATCCCAGAAAGAATTTCTAATGCCGAGTGTAAACTGGCACTTCATGTCTATTCATATGATTTAAAATTAGGTGTCAATGTGGTGTTATATAATTCACTTGTGAGCTGCATGGGTGAATGGGTAGTGTACATGTGTATGCCATCAGTCATGGGATAATTTCTGCGTTGTTAAAGGATCATACATCTTTTCTCTTTCCATTGCTGTCATCTGAGGCTAGGCCACCACTCTTAAAGAACTGGCTCTTTCCTCCATTGGCTTCAACAACTGGGTGATGAGTTCTAAACTTTCTCTCCAGAAGCTACCTCACTCCTGAGCTCCTTACTTACATAACCAATTCAGTGTTGGACAGCTCTGTTTCCAGAGGACCTCAAATTGTGCATGTGCTAAAAGTAACCGTCCGTCTTCTCCCAAAACCTTTCATTCTTTCTTGTAGTATTTCCTAAGAATGTAGGAATTCAAGTATTTGCTGAGGGAAGTGAGGATTCATTCTTTCTTTTCCTCATTTTCATTTCCACAGAATTAATAGACCCTTTATACACATTTATGTTTATCACATCCCACTCCCCAAAAAAACTTGAAGTAGCTATTTAAAAAATCTACAATACAACACAATGAAAATAGTCTTAGAAAGTAATGGGAATGGCAAAATTAAGTTAGAATAGTTGCGTGAAGTCAGAGGAAGACTGATTCTCAGCAAGGTAGAGCAGGAAGTTGGGACACAAATTAACTTGAGTTTTCCACAGGCTAAGTAGGAAATACTTATCAGGGATGTGTGATTCATAATGTCTGTC